TGGTAATGTGATAAAAAGGAGTAAATCCTTCAAGAAATAGCCATTCCATAAAACTGTCTTCGTAGGCTAGTAAAGTTTTAGTTTTAAGATGACTTAAAGTTCGAAGAAGTATTAGCTACTGCACTTAAAAGACTAGATAAGACAAGTTCTTTAAATGAAATTCTTGTCTAAGTTTGAAACCAAACTTCAGCTTTCAGAGAGAGAACTTCTGATGCGATCTAAATTTACCTATCTCTTGCAAAGGTATTGTTATCAGACAAGAACATCATTCAAATACATATGCCTATAGTGAGATTACTTTATAGCTTTTCATTTTATGTTTAAGGAACTAGCTACGGATTTCTACTAAACCAAGTGAACGTTCCAATCATTAGTAATTTTGATTGTTGGCGTTCTTATGGTAGTACTATACTGGACAGCATGCTGTGCGCAGGGTATGTTCAAGGAGGAAAGGACGCCTGTCAGGTAACTACGTGGTGTTAATGCCAAGGTTACGACCAGAATCTAGGCGTGGTGGTTCATTATTTATTTATTTATTTATTTATTTATTTATTTATTTATTGCGATGTGTCCTTTGTTAACATACCTGTAAATTGTATGACGATTTAATTCAGAATCAGATGATAAATTTGTCGAATAGAAGTTCGTAATTAAATTGATCGGTGGTTCGATAATGAATCTCGAATAATCAGCAGTAAAAGGGAAAGTTTCGTTTTCAGGGTGACAGTGGCGGCCCCTTCGTATGTATCAAGAACGGGCGGTGGAAACTGGCAGGAATCGTGTCTTGGGGCAGAGACTGTGGCGCCGTCTACTCCCCGGGGGTCTACACGCGCGTGTCCAAGTATCTAAACTGGATCAACTACATCATTCAAAACGAATGAAAGAAAAAAAAAAGAATATGGAAGCTTGTAATGTTTTCGCTTACATCGCTGCTACTCTGCAAATGGACAACTCGGCTTTTAATGTGTGATTTTATTTACAATAATGAGAAGAAATTTACATGCGATTTACACGGATGCTGCTTTTTATTCCTGGTTTTGCAACTGAGGGTGCTCTTTTGGATGTTGCTGCTGTTGTAAGTCCTACAGATAGTTCTTTGCGGGGTGTATTGCGTCCAAAGAATCAAATACTGCACACTGATCTTTCGTTTTTTTCTCGCAAAGCCGATGGTGAAGCGACAATGATAAAAACCCGCATGTCCTTTATATGAATTAGAGATTCATCTTTACAATAAACCTCATTTTAAGAAGTGCCAACTGATATCTATATTCAAGAAGGTGTCAATTCCACTTTCGTGGATACATTTATGATAAGTCAAATTTCGATGCTTAGTAGTTTAAATATCAAGTAACCACAGAAACCGTTTTTTTATTTTTTTCAAGCACTTGCTATTGTTTATGAAGGAATTCCTGGTAAAAAAGGTGATAATAGATGCACTGGATGTGAGCATGATACCAATAGGTCTTATGCCCCCATGATTTTATCTAGTTTTGTTTAACGCGGCGACGCCGCACTGTTTCGCCTTCCAGAAGTCTTAGGCACTCTTAAGGACGCCATGCTTAATGACTTTTTACTTTTCCTCTCTGTGCTTTTGGATTTTTCTTCTTGCGACGAATCTCTGTCTCTCCTGTTCTTTAGATTGGCTACTACTGACCTCTGGCGGCTTGTTGGCCGTCTGCTACTTGTAGGTCGATCCTTGTTTTCCTTACTTTCTTTCTTTGCGAGTTGAGCTGGAATTAAGATTTGAGGAAAAATGATAAAATATTTACTTTATAAAATGGAACTCTCATTACGATCAATGTAAGAACTATATTTAAATTAATTTAAAGCAAAGAATGCGCTTTTAACGTAGAAATAAAGCGAATTTTGTCAGAGTTTAACATCTTGCTTGAATCTGTTACAAAATATTTTAACTGCATATGTCTGAATTAACCGGCGAAATTCGACATACTATATGTGGTATTGTATGGACGTTAATAACTGAGAGGGATGGCTATGATTGAACGAAGTTTAAATGCAGTATTTTGGGATGAAAGGAAAAACCGTTTCAAATCAGTTCCCATTTATCAATTTTAGCCAAGTTGTCACCGCCTTTGTCTGAAAGTTCTATTTGCAAAAGCTAATTTGGTTGGGAATCCCCACTGATAAGATATTATGTAACTTATCAAAAGCAGAACACATGCTTTTGTTTTTAAAGCAACATATGTATCCAGGAAGAATTTCACCGTCCGAGATATCCTCAGCTACTATAAAAGTTTCTTCGAGACAACAGCTAAGGTTTAGTTATTTGCCCCACCCCTCCCCCAAAACGGTGACTTGACATGCATGTAGGAAATATTTGAACACGAATAAATCTCTGCTGTTTTGAAAAATCTTTTATAGAAACTGAATTAATACTAAGGTTCCACAGTCTTTTAGAATTTGTTTTGTTTTACCTCAGTCATAAAAAACAAATGAAAAAATATATATTTCTGATGCCCCATTGAATGATTAATGATTAATTTTTAGTTAGTTATCTGTCTTGGCTGAGGTCTGCGCTCTTGAAGAGCTTTTCTAGTCTTACCCATGAAATTTTCCGTAATAATTTGATCGTCTTTTAGGAGTGGAATGTATTGATATTCAGAGTCTTCCGAATCTAAAAAAGAATAGATAGAAAAATAGATAAATAAGATAAAGATCATAGATAAAATATTGTTTTTTTTTTATTATAGAAATAACATATCCACTTTTGGAAGGAAATGCGCTTTTCAATACCTATTTTCTAATACCTCAATGACTTGACAACATAAAGAAACCGCATAATTTAAGGAGAAATTCATGGGTACATTAGCTTTTTCGTTGATACAAGTTAATCTAATCGATAAACAACCTCATTTAAACATTTCGACAACTTGAATGATTAACGTGTTTCTTATCAATTGAGACATTTATTCTGAGACCTTGTCACTCTTTGTTTGTACAGAGATGGCGGTGGTGTTATTACAAGGTGTTATATATACCCGATATATGTAGGCGACAAGAGATTCAGTTATTGGCAAGAGCCTATCTAGAATGTTTGTAATAAACGTGACAGTGTGATAATTCTACTCACTGTCCACCTGTAGGAGAACGAACGCTTGGCGTGGTGTAAGAAATTCATTTGCGTAGCGCCGCGGGGACTGTCTTAGATTTTTAACGTTTCCTTGTACATCTGAGAGTTCTATGTCGCCTGGAAGAAAATTACAGCTTGGTTAATTAGTTCGGCATGTTACAAAGACATAGATCAATATGGTATCCATATCAAAACAGTATCGAATTAATATTTACAAAGAGATTGCGCTACAAGAAAACGATTTAATTAATCCGATATGCACTGGCTAGCCCCTGAAGTAGCAAAATTCAAAACTTACGATTTAGACATCTACAGCGTTCTTTTATACAGTTGAGCAACAGGCCCACCCGGCACTGGGGGTTGAAAATAGCTTCATGTCCCTCTTAGAAGTGAAAAATAGAGAATTATATGATTTATGTTCGGTCTATGGCCAACTAGAAGGCAATACATTTTCTTTCATTTTGCCAAGTCACTGTTTACCTTTCTATAAGGCAAACAAATACGAAGTCAAGACACCAGTCTCGCCCCGCTGTTAATCACAAAATATTTTGCCTTTAATGTTCAAATAAAATGATTTATTTTCGACAATTGTTTGCCCAATGAAAATATCAACCAAACGTGTCACTAGTCTGCCTTTTCATTTTTCTCTCACACACATTCGGTCTCCCAAAACTATCGAACGTAAAAAATCTGCAGTATAGTCAAAACTGAATTCCTTCATACTCTTGTCACACAGACTTTTTTCAGAGAGAGAGGAAAAGAGTGAGTGAGTGAGAGAGTGAGTGAATGAGTAGTGTGAGAGAGGTTAGCTCTTACCTCCGTATTTCACCGTAATGAACATACTTCCACTACAGTCAGCCGGCTTTGCAGCTCCTCTTGGTCCCTCAATGCTTATTTTCTCTCTGGTGTTGGCTGCCTAATTCACAGGGATAGAGAAAGCCCGGTAGCGTCATTGTTGCTAAGAGTGGAGCCGTATTTGGTATATAAATTTGCCATTTATTTTAGCAGTATTTGTTTTCTGCCTTGATAGTTATGCCTGCTCCCGATGATATTGAGTTAGTAAACGCTGACAGGATAAGCCGGCTACAAAGCTTTTTGTTTACTCTGGGGTCTGTAGAGCAAGCAAACCCGCTCCTTGGTTTAGTCCACTTGCTCCTCGAGACGGTAATGCTGTATGGGGGAGAGACATTTATTAATCCTATGGCTGGTCGGGGGCATTTGGTTACCTATTAATAAAATGTATGGCCTCAGGAAATAATGAATCATTATAAACTGACCAGGGTAGGGTTTTTAAGAAAAATAAACGGTTGAAATACCATGACGGACAAGGTCGTTCAGAAATCTTTTCATTTCGCTTACGTAATTAGAATTCATTCCATTTTTGGATCTATTTTTGATTTGCTTTTATCTTTTTAGGCTAATTTTTTGGTTCTTCTTTTTAATTCGCTTTCTTATAAAACTAAGAAATATTTTACACATTCATCGCGGTTGTCATTCTGCCCATAAATCGCATTTCTATGTTTTGACGGGTATTTCACTGAAATTGATTTAAATCTTATCCAGAGATTTTACCTCTTAAATACCGCACCTTGATGTAATCTTAAATGGATGAAAAATGAAAAGAAGGGAGAGGAAATGTGCACTTTGGTACTTTTGTCACCGTTACGTTTCCAAGTAAAAAAACTAGGTGATTATTTCATAGATGATCATTTCTGTTAATTCTCTAATCTCATATCGTCACGAAGGATAAGACACCGCGATAACGGGGGAGTACGTATAGAGACACCTGTACTTAAAAAATAATATAAAATGGCCCGGAACCGATTTACTTTTATTTGAACGATAGCCTGTATCAAAGGTAACATATATGGTAAAGACAGGGGCGGATCCAGAGATATTTTCTGACAGTCTTCCAAATTATCTTTGTTGAGCCAACTTCCAATTTTTGACCGTCTTCCGACAGAAAAAAATAGATACCCGTCAATGTAAACTTGAAAATCTGACCGTCTTCCGGAAGACCCAGAAGACGGCCTAAATCCGCCCCTGAAAGAGGCCATATATATAACAACATGACATTATGATAAAAATCAAATGAATTACGAGCGCCACAGAAAAAAAATCTGGTTTTTAAAAGTTTCGACTTTCGTATTCTTCAATACGTAAGCAGAGTGCCTAATATAACCACAACATTAGAATGTATGGCGCGTTTGCAACATTAAGCCTCTTCATATTGACATAGGTTGATATTTTAAAAGCTTCAGAAGCTCTCGAAAGTTGCAAGTGTTCCTGTTAAGTGCAATCATTAAACATGCATGCCTGGGGGGTATCAAATAAAACTCGCTTTCGCGTCTTCCGGGTGATTCAAACATCCCACGTCCGCTGGGACTTTAATATACACAAAGCACCGTGTGTATATAAACCGTGGTCCTTAAGTTTTTATGTATAAAACTGCACGCCCCAATGAAGCTGAAAGTTCCGAGTGCTTCTGGCCATTCTAGCTTAATTGAAATTCACGGCTATAACTTCCACATTGCAAACAATACTTTTTCTTTCGTTTGTCTACTGTGCCAACCTACTTTTCAGCTAAGTGAGAAGAAGTTACTCTTTTATATTTTAAATAAATTGAAGAAAGCAGAAGAAGCCGATATGGGAATATGTGAGGCAGACCAACCAAGGGAATAGATACTTTCGTGAGCCAACCAAGAGAGAAAACACTGAAAACTATAACGTTTCGAGTGCCAAAATAAGGCACGTTTTTCCACCGATGGCGACCAATTAAACTGTGGGCCAATTATTAAACCCCTACCCAGAGATTAAACTCATTATGATTTTCAGAAGATATGTTTTCATTTTCTTGCTTGAGATTAGACCATAGTGGGTAAGAACTTCAGACACGTCTCCATGGTAACGCAGACTTATGGACTGATGGAGACTTAAAATCTCCAGCGAATGAGAAATCTCTTATTTTAAATATATGAACAAAATAGTACAGAAACTTTCTTTACATGGTAAGACTAAGAACTGTTCGAATTTTTACTCTCACAAAGTAAAGTCATACAAAGATATGGGTCTATGAAATACATGAAAGTACATGTAGCAGGCACTGTCACTTTAGATTATACATAACGGAGCCCTGGAAAACGAATTGCTTCATCGTTTCCCCTTCAGTCCACATTGCACTAGATTATGAACTGTCTTGTGTCATAGCTCAACCTAAAAACTGATAAAGCATTTTCAATATAATAAAACATAGAATGAATAAAGAATTAATTTTCTTTTTATTCAGCAGAATTTTACAAAATTTTGAGAGCATGTGTAACTATGTCAGCGTCAGTATGGCACATAATTTAAAAATAAAAGTTGAAAAAACTTTAAGGAAAATAAATATTTTGTCAATCTCTTTTAAATCAGTGGAAGGTTTTAATTTAAATAAAAAGAATAACTGTATCTTTAGTTTAATAATAATTTTCATAGCTTTTTGCGAATTCACTAAAATATTTACACAGCATTCCATACACTTTGACACAAATTTAAAAAAAATATTTACATTCAATATCAAAAAGAAGATAGACAGCCCTTATAAACATACAAACTTTACATATCACAGTTCAAGTGGAATAATGTTCTTTTCCTTATTGAAGTTCACTCTGAAAGCTGATTCATTTTTAAATGAAATAAAAAAAGTAACAAAAATTTTGATTAAAAAATTAAAATAATTATTTTGGAAAAAAATTCTATTTTGATATCTGACTTTCTTCCAAACAAAGGTCTCTGGTCTTTCATACAACTACATTCAAGCACTGAAATGTATCCAAACAATTTGGAAACTGTGTATGCCATAACAGGTGGGTTTTCAGACACACTTTCCTTTGGAATTACCTAATTAGGTCTCTTGAGATTCCAGAACTTATAAGCATCAAGGCCAAATAGATCACTGGTTCTGCCTCGTTATACATATGTTCCACACCTTAAATGTGAAGCATGTGTCACATTTCAAATGTGAAGCAGGTATCCCATTTCAGCTGTGAAGTACATGTATCAACATGCCTCTGGGTTTGGCATTTTTCTCTCTTACTCATGGTGGCACTAGACAAGATTGTGATATGAATTCATCCTATATTGCAGGGAGTTTCTGAATTTTACTTTTAGTCCTTTCTGGTTTCTTTTTCTTGTTATACTGACCACTAGGATGCCTTTCTGAGCCAGCGTCAGAGTTGAGAGAGTCTGTAGTGTATGTGCGACTTAGAAGACCTGCGGAGGTAGGGAAATTAGGTGGAAGCTCAATCTTTTGCAACTCCTGAAAGGTAAAATGTTATTTTTTTCATAAAATAGCAGATTACATTTTAATTTTTATCAAACTATTTCTGCAAAAGTATCCATAAAGCCAACTTAAAAAATTAATGAGTACCTTTAAAGCTGGCCCATCATAACTGTTACTATCACCTGACATTTATTACAAAACTGTTCCTTCACTTTCAAATGACAATTACCAAACAACTAAGATGTGAGTTTATGAATTCCATATTGTAAGTCATACGGCTGAGTACCATATATATATATATAATGCAAATTTTCCTCTATTTCTAGAAAATTATAACAAAGTTGCAGGATGTTACATCTTTTGCACTATTACATTTATTACTATTACTATTACACTATTTTGTTCAGTACAAAGAGAATACAACATAGTCTTTGGTGAAACTTTGTTAGTTCAGAAATATGGTCAAGGAAATTTGTATATAAATCTATCGTGTGACTTACTGGAGTGAGCAGTGCATGGAAGGGTGAGCACAGTTTGCCTGTTCTAGAGGCCTGCTTGATATCTATCTCTCCAAAGGCATCCCGCCTTTCTTGACGGTCATGCATTTTTCTGGCTAGGTCTTTGTCAACTTTTATACCAAGTTTAGACTGGAATAAAATATTAAAACCTTTATTGTACAACAATAATAAATCACTGAAATTTATTTAAAAACAAAAATATCCGGTAGGATATCCAAAGCCATTTGGACTAAAATATTAATCAATGAAGAAAACCGAACATTGATTTTGCAACTCATTGCAATTCATAAGTTTCTAGCACTTTTAGTAACTGACTTAGCAAAACTACATACATGTATTCCCTTTTCATTAACTTGAAGTTCTTATCTTTTCTATTACATAAAAAGTAAATCAAAGTATCATTTTAATAAAAACTTAATTACTTTTGGGGAAGCAGAGAAAGTTCCAAATGCAAATGTCTGTGCTCTGTTGGGCATTGTTGGCATGGTGCTTTCTGCAGCTCTATCTGTGCTTATTCTGTTCATTCTGGTGTCTATTGTTACAGACTTTGCTTTTACTGGTATCTAAAAAACAAGAGAATAAAAATATAATTATAATTAAAAAAACAATTACTTGACAAAATAATTAGTTATATACTAGTATAATTTAATTCCTTATGAGAAAAGTAGCTATTTAATTATATTGATATTTTTCAGTACAATGAACAAGATCTGGCATATTGCCAACTGTATGATATTTGGAACTTTTTTGGCATGTACCAAATACATATAACACCTAAATATATTGACAATTACAGATATCAGTGTGCACTCTCAATTATTTTTGTCAACAAATGCAAATTATTTACTTATATGGTATTGTGAATATTAATATTTACACTAAAGTAAATACAAACACAATCACTTACATCAGCTCTTTGTATAGAGACTGTACTAACAGCTCTTGAATCCTGGGCTGTGGCTGCACCCTCATCTCTCTCAGTTTCTCCATCTGTAGATGGCGCTAGTGGTATGTCTTCATCCATAAGTGTCTCTCCACGTTCAATAGTAGGAATTTCATCATAGTTAAAAAGTGAAGAATCTTCTTTTCTCTTACATGGACTAGAAACTGCTGATTCTGAGATATTTGGCATTTTGGGACTCTTTTCTTCTTCTCCTCCATTGCTTAAATCTGTAAAATATTTCATAAAATATTTATCTTTTGCACTTGAAATGTGCATGTGAAATATGCAAGTCCTGTTGTATGCCATAAACATTGATTGACATTAATGCGCATTAAAATTATTTAAAAATTATATGCCATAAAAAAATCCAAAATCTTTATAAAAACAATTTTTTGTTAAACTTACTTAGTTTGAACTCATCTTCCTCCACTGTCCAGGGGGTCTTGGGGTGTGCCCATGTAGAGGGATCGTCTAAATTCCACTGCTGTTTCTGTGAAAATAGAGGAAAAAAATATCACCAATCAGTATATGACTGTTGCAACTAAAAAATATAACAGCACAAAATTGGATGTTTCAGCTTACGTATGCAAAATAATAATAATAATAATAATAATAATAATAATAATAATAATACAGGGGTGGATCCAGAGATATTTTCTGACAGTCTTCCTAATAATCTTTGTTGATCCATCCACTTTTTGACTGTCTTCCGACAGAAAAAATTAAATATCCGTCAATTTAAACTTGAAAATCTGACCGTCTTCCGGAAGACCCAGAAGACAGCTTCAATCCGCCCCTGTAATAATAACTCTATTCCTACCTGTCCAAATGTTCCAACATAATGACCATCCAGATTCCAGAGCCTAGCTGTCCTGTCAGTGGATGCTGTCAGAATAAAATGGAGGTCACTTGAATACTCCACATACTCTGTGCTAACAATGGCCGAGTCATGTGCTCTCCAGCCAGCCAATAGCGGGGGTCTATGCCTGATTCGCTAAAATAAAAACAAATCTTCAAGTTATGAAGTTCTTTATATTTAATTCATTATATTTCTATTTAGGGAAGGATGAAAAATGCACTGATTGTATATATATATAGGCAAAGACCATGTAGCCGCTACTAGGGATTGCACTTGTAACTGAGCTGATTTGAGGAACTCTACAAATTAACAAATCTCCAAATTAATACTTCATGTCAACACTAAGACACTGCACTATGAATGCCATAAACAGCTGCATTTCACTCACCCTCTCCTCAGCCTTCAGGCAGTACTCTGAGATGTCCCAGACAGACACATGTCCCTGGGTGTCCCCTGTCACCAGAATACTGCTATCTGGATCTGAGCACATCCCCAAAACAGACTCATCAGGAAAGTCTGACGCGTAGAATGAACCTAGAAGCAATGTTTATTTGCATGAATTATTACGTTTACTGGTATTTAAACCAAGTTACCGGCTTTCAGTTCTTTTAAAGAAAACGTTTCACAAATTCGCCTTGTATACAGAACATAGGAAACGCTTATGTTTATTGTGTTAATATGCACTGCAACCTTATGTATGTATATGATTATCTATAACCATAACTTACCCATAAAAAACAAAAAGCATTTAAAAAATACCCTGAAAATTCAACAATAGGATAGAAACTGCATTTCTCAATTTCGACATAAAGAATATTCATTTAAACAAGGAAGGTAAATGGAAGCTAGAGAAACTTTGTTATTTGAAATTTTCAGTATTTCCATACCAAATTCATGTTTCTTATTGTATATGCTCCACCACCTGAGAACACCCGCCTCACTGGAGATAAGAAAGGCACAGTCCAGGTATTTGCCATGAGCACGATTGTGGAGGAATAGCAGCTTATCCACTGGGGCTGCTTGCCTGGAACGCAAATGGATGTATTATAATGTGGAATGGCCCTATATGTGATTTAAACTTGATTTCTATACAATTACGTAATCAATGTATACATGCAGACTAATAAAAACTTTAAAACATTCGTTAAAAATACTTTGATTTCTACTTAAGTCAACAAATTCTTCACAACTAACCAACTCTCCCTAAAACAGCTGCCTTGAAAATAATGCCTTACCCTTTGGCAGGTTTGTGTGATTTTCTATGTCTTGAGTTTGGTCTGCTTGGTGGCCGCTCTGGGTCTGGACTGATGTCAAACTCTTGCATTCTCTTGTCACTGTGCATAGAAAATGAAGAAACAATAAGGATTGTAAAAAATATATTACTGAAATTAATAAATTAAAATTCAAATATATTTATCCCTATAATTAATGAAAAAAATAAAACAAGAATTATACTGAAATATGTAGTTTTTCATTTAGCATATTTAAATTGTCTTAATAATCATTTCACATTCCTCTGTCACCACTATGTACTGGGTATCTTAAAAGGATACACAAAATATAAAGCGTTACACATTCTGTCTGATTATATTCTTCATCAAGCAAAGGCACTTACTAGTACAAGTATAATTCAAACTAATACATACATTTTGACAGGCTGTCCCTTTCTTAGCCTGAGAAACAGTTTGTCTGTGTCAGTGCTCCAGACCACTATCTCTCCATCAAATGTCCCAGTGGCCAGCAAGTTTGGTGGGCAGTAATCCACTGAGAGGATGTCTTCTTTGTGGACTTGACCACCTTTCCAGTTAGTTTCTGCCTTAATGTAGGTGTTCTGAAATTACAGTTGAATATTTCTGGTTATTTTTGCCAGATAAAACAAAAAAATGACATATTTAATTCAGAATTAAAGATTTATCAATAAGTGCTTGTAATGATGGTTTCACAAATCTGTCAGCAAACAATGTCCCAATGTAAAGTACTTGCTGGTACCAGTACACAACATTCTGTCACAACCAATGCAATGTCTCAACTACCACAATATTGCAGGGCGGTCACCATGTCATGTACACAGTAAACTGTACTTACATCAGCATGAGAGTCATCATACAGAGTTATCAGCCTACTCCAGCCCACTGCCAAAATGATCCTCTTGTCACTGAAAGGAACAATGCCTGTCACCTCTGCCTCTGCTACTGCCTCCAGTTTGTGCAGGTTGTGGCCATTTTGGAAGTTCCATACCTAGAATGGAAAAAATCAGTGAGAGAAAAAATATTGTCACACACAGGAGTACTACATCTAAACATTAATTTTTCAAACATAAAATATCTTAACATATAATTTACAATAAACTAGTGTTAATGCAATAAAACAGAATTATCATAGATCGATTGTGTGCATTCCAAATATAATAATTGAAGTCTGATCAAAATTGTTAGTACCTTGATAGTTCCATTTCTTGCTCCAGTAATTAGCCTTCTCATCTGTCCATCAAACACCATCGATGTTATCTCTTCCTCACCGTGTGCATTACTTAGCATTAGAGCCTTGCTGCCTGTGTCTATATCCCAGGTAGCTATGGTAGAGTCATCAGAACCTGTCACAACCTAAAACACAATGCACATGAGAGGGAGCTCACCTAACACATTTTTCATTTTTAGTCTAAGACAAACCATAAAATTAATCTGAATAACTAATGGTCAAAACAGACTTTATATTTTGTCTAAAAGTTACACCCAACATTTGTCTCAAGATATTTCATGAAACAGAATTCTCATATTATGACAATTTACATACATAGTTAGAAATCGTTGCAATATTTCAATCACGAGGATCATCTATCAGCATCAATTTTCATGCAATACACAATTAACATGTTACACTTAACTTTGAGTAACCATGTCTAAAACATAAAGCAAATGTCTGACAAACTCACTAAAGACAATATTGTTTACAAACAAAAAAAAAACATACTTCAACTAAACACAATTCCATAGTTTGACCCACCTGTTTATAGAAGGTATTATATATTGCACAACACAGCTGTGTCTTATGTGTGGTGGGGTAGTTAGTCCTCTCGTTATACGACTGACCCAGCCTCAGCACTCCTATGTAGTCATTACAGCTGACCACGAGGGCGTGGTGAGGGGGGTGCTGGAGACGGAGGGGAAAGGGACCATGCTCTGGGATACGCCCATGTACTGTGCTGGGGAACTTCATGACCACAGTCTGCAGACAGGTGTGCTCTTTTAGATCCCACACCTTCACCACCTGGAGTGATATGATGAAGTTTTGTAAGCAAAGATATGTGCATTGACAGGACCTTTCATATGTGTACAACTGTACCATAACATTCATGCGTTGTTCTATGTACTTGACAGCATGTTATAGATACAACAAGGTGTATGTATATTCTCAAGTTGGTGTGAGGTACTCTCTCTCTATCTCACACATGCACGCACGCACGCACGCACACACACACACACACACACACACAATAGTATCCAACTTACATACGTAAAAATACCTAAAAATATTCAAGTATTGCCTGCATATATTAAACAAAATACATCACATCTGGGTCTATACTTACAGCATCTCTTGAATAACTGAAGAACTGCACCAGCTCTTCATGTATGACCACATCAATGACCCCAGTAGCATGTCCCTGCAGTATGGCCACTGGTTTACTGACTACATAGGGATTCCACACCCTCAGGACGTGATCAGCACTGCCAGTCACCAGGATGTTCAGGGTCTTGTTGTGGTCAAAACATTCAGCGCCCTACAATGTGAAAAATTATGCTATATTTCAGGAGTTTAGATAGGAATTTTTATTTAATTAGTCACATGCATGTGATAAAAGCTGCAGTATCAAAGGAAGTTGCTAAAATTCACTATTTTATTTTACTGATCTCACTGTGTAACACATTTGGGATAATTCACCATCAGACAAAACTAAAATGGATTCTACCAAGTACAAACAAGCCATAGAATTTTAAATATCATGTTAAGCAATCAGGCTGTGCACTGACATCAACTGAATGAATTATGTTCACAAAAAAGATCTGTACAGCAAGTGTCTTAAGTGCTCACCTTATTCATTTTGAAAACATATGGCCTCTTCTTTTTCTGTATGTCCATGATGACTATAGAGTTCCTGGGGCTAGCACTAGAAGAGATGATACCATCATTGTCTGGGAGATACATTACTTTACGAATGATGTCAGGATGGATGTCTTCTATCACCTCTAGACAAACACACTTAGAGTGGAACATGAGATCCTGGAATTGTAAAAGGTTAAACAGGTTTTCATTTTGGATGAGATGAAAAAATTTTTTTTCTTTCAACAGGCCTTTTTTCTTGTAAAATATGGAGGGGGGGGGGGTACTAATTAAAAATTTCCCCAGAAGACAACAAAATCCATAAAATCCATATCACAAAATGCATGAAAATGATGAGTAACAGGAGCAGCAGGATAACTAAGCTTACCTTAAAGAATATCTTAGTAACTCCTTCAGAAGTGGTGTGTTGGAATGGTGTTTCAAACAGCTGTGTGATGGGTTTTTTAAAGTAAAACAAATAGATGGAGCCACTGTCCATGCCAGCAATCAGCAAGGAATCACCACTGGGATTCTTTGAAAAAAGTTAAATTCAAAGCATGGTTATTTACAAAAATATAAAATAAATTTGAAGTTTTGTAAAAGTACTTAATCATCATAAATATAACAACCCTCTATGTTTGTGATTAAACTATACAATAACCAAAAAGAACAAGGAATTAGTCTTCAGTATTGCTGTACACATATTCCGGCCACTAGGTTTTGTCATGTATTGAACCAAGAAAATATATGTTTTACTCACTTTTCTATCAAACCAGTATGTCAAACAGTAGGGTACATCTGGTATTGCTGAAATAAAAAAGGACAATCATAGTAGTAATTTAAAATGGAATACATATATGGTAGTCAGTGCATAAATTAATTCTTAGAACATTAGGAGTCAATTACACAGCTTGATATAATGATAAGTTACAATAGTTTTTAAGTTTCTTTACAAGTCATATCAGAAAATGGTTCATACAGACCACTATTTAGGAAACTTGTTTAAATCTTTATCAATATTTGGTTGATTGAAATTAAAGATATTGTTTAAGGAATAGCCTGTTCTTCACTGTTTACATTGCTCTGATATTTTTTCTTGTTATCTAAAAATACATCATGAAACAATATTCTCTATTGAAAATAAACTTACAATATAAATGAAACTCTTCAAAATATTTTGACGTTGATGTGTCATAAAACCTCAGATCTCTGGAAGTTGATGCTATTGCAATTTTATTGGAGTTTGGCATGTATGCAGCATCTGTGACCCACATGCTAAAGCGGCGTTTCTGTCCACCAGCAGATGGCTCTTCTTGTGTCATGGTATGTGTGCCCGCCAGAGACAGGTTGGGTGTCCACACACTGATTGCGCCCTCCTACAATATATTTTAAAAATCAAGAAAAATATGATAATTATGACCTTAAACTCCTTAAATCTTATAAAAAAATTGTCTTGATTATATCAATACCAATATCCCCAAAGCTCGACTGATCTTCCAACATACTGTAGCCTGCTAATTCAGGTTGCATGCCCCATGTCTAAGTTTACAGTCAGTTCAGGAAAGACTTTTTTAATAGATTGGGTTGTTGCGAAAAAAGAAATAAAGAAAGTTTTTGGATACAAGTACTTAACAATTCTATGATAAGAATTCAACATGACCCAGATGCAACATATGAAAGTCATTTAATTTTGAAAAAACACCAGCCAGAAATTTAAGTTATTCCAGATCTCCCAGAATCAGTCTCGTTTGAGGACTAAAACTATGTCCACCATAACATAAATCTGAAACTTATTTGTAAGTACCATAGATCAATAACATTGAAAAGGAATCCTGTACACACTACATTTTGACAAAAAATGTCAAATAAGACATATTAGGACACTTAAGTCTATTGTTCAATAATGACAAACACATAATACACGAAGATTGTTTTCAGGTCTCCACCTCCCATTGATCTGTTTCAATTATGCATGAGTATACCTGGCAATGCCCAATGCAACGTGCCGTAAATAACATGTCTGAGTCATGTTTTGTTAGGAGATTAAACACACAACAGAACAACACATCAAACAGGTAGTTTTGCAACAAAGAAGTTAATTAGTGCAGGTTACGTCAGGTGTGTAATGATACAATATTGTGTCACATGTTATGGAATTCAACAAAGGATCCAACTACTGTATTGAAGAGATTACTACCTGAGTGAAAAAATGAAATTGATTTAGTATATCATATTAAGGGGTGTGGATTCAGAAAATTAAATCTATGTTAATGTAACAAGAGTCCTTTTACCCCCAGTATATACAAATAAAAGTTGTATACCAATAATTATAATAATAATAGTAATAATAATAATGGTAATAATAGCAATAATAAATAGAGTCTTTTCCACGGTCACGTGACTTCCGCTAAATTATCCGTGGGAACGCGAGATTTTGCGGGATTTGAAGTTTCAGGGGGAAAGTGTGGAGTGTACACGACGGACGCCATATCGAGGAGTGCTCATTTCAATCTGAATTTTTAAAGTTTCGTAACATGTTAACACCTGATTTTTTTCGAAAACATTTTCATGGGAGCAGTTGGAATAGAAATTTAGCAGAAGTACCTGATGACTTTTCAATGAAAGAACTAAAAACGTACCTCATCGACAGCAAAGATAGGACATTCGGTACTTTTGTAGTATACCCCCACCCTGTTACTTCCTAAAACTTTCATTTTTCAAACATTTTNGTCAGTATACCAAGTTTAAGAGAACAGATGAAACAAGTATTTATAGATGCAGGGGATTTTAACAAATATTTGAAAGGTGAGAGTTGAAAACTAATATCACTCTTACCTTGCTAATGGTTACAAATCTGACAGGGTTCTCTACTGCTACTATTCTGCATGTTGGTTCTTGCTGGAAAGAAATTTATAAAACAAGATTTACCGGTATGCCAAATTAATGAAAATGCATGAAAAGCTCTGCTAACATATGTGAACTTTTATTGCATTTAGTTTGCTCTCCTTGAATTATACAAAGCATGTGAAAAAATACTTCTAGTATTTAGATTCAGTAAATAGCTCACAGACAATTTCAAAATTCATACAAAATGAATATATAAACTGAAGTAATCTAAACCAACAGAGACAACATAAGTAAAGATACGTAAGCACACAAACAGCCATGTAATGTACTAGTACACCCACCAGAAGAATATCAATAAGAAATAAAGAGTTACATGTACTTGGGATTTTATTTATTAAAAAAAAACTGAACTGTTCACAAAATACTCACACATTTTCAAATAATATTTCAAAACTATTATTATCAAACTAACACACTTACTGCCTAATATCCCCAAGAAGGCAAAGTGTAAGGAAACGAAAATGTTAGCATTTATTTAGATTCAGACACGTTTAAAACTATTTAGAAAACAGAACTGTGTTCATAACGGTTGATTATTAAAAATCTTTTGAATAGTGTTGGTAAAATGAGATGTTTTTTTCAGATGTTTTTTTCAGTATTTCTTGAAACTTCCATTAATATTTAATTCTATTCAACGTCTGATCTGAACATGACATGAGCTCAAATATCCAGATTATGCATTTATTGCTTTTATATAACTTGAAATGGCATAAATGAAAAGACCAAAATAGCATTTGTATTCATTATAGTGTAATTTTACCCAGTGCAAAATTAGTGTATCATACAATGTTATTTCTAGTTGCTGATCACACACCTAGATACATCCATAGAACTGATAATTCTGTCTTTAAGTGAACTGTCAACTGATCTATACCTCAATACATGCAAGTTCACTCAGATAAACAAGTTCACATTAATTCCCTTTTTGTAACCATAACACAACATGGTCAGGTTTCAAGGAAAATAATGAAACTAGTCAAAGCCATTAAACTCAGTAAGTGGTAATATACACCTGGCACCTTGCACTACATCTACATGTACATATAACTGGTTCATTTCACAAACCATAGGCATAGTAATAATGTTTGTCAATATGCTCGGGTATATTTCAGTAAAATAATTTGTTTCTGAGTTTTTGAAGATATTGTAGTACATCTAAATAGCATTTTGTGAAAAAGGTATCCAACTTGTTAACTTAGAAAAGCTCTAAACAATATCAATGATCTTAAGTTTTTTAAATTATAAAACATATCAACTGACACATGGCTTAGTGTTTTTTATATGATACTTAATGTATTCTATACATATCTGAACTCATTTTTTACATGTCTTACTCTAAATATCTATAATTTCTTTCTAAAAGTTCTTACCCTGTTATGCAAGATATGGCGAATCTTTGGGTCGACCAAAAATGGGATGAGCTTCTTGGTTCTAAGATAATCATTTTCTCTGTATTTAAGCAGCATGTATGTGGCAAACTCTTCCCAGTCAACATAGCCATCTGCTGAGGTGTCAAGCTGGAAAACCAAAAATGAAAGTCTTGTGTTAAAAAAAGTATTCATTTAAAATAGATTGTGCTTGATGTGACATCATCTAAATTCTTAGATGTGATATCTTGCAGAATGTGATGTTGTGTTAGCTGTGGCATTGTGTTAGTTGTGATATTGTGCTTGATGTTAAACACTATCATAGGACTATGCCTAAAGTGATTAATATAATATGGAATATATATATAGTGATTAATATAATATGGAATATATGATTAATATGGAATATATTTAATGAGATTATGAAAGTGTGTTAGACATGATATTGTAAATTCAATCAGAATACCATACTAGAGGTACAGACAGAGAGAGTTGTGTTCATTTACAATGCAGTATGATGTAGACATTCTATATATCTTATCACATTTACATACCTTGTGTGAAATCAAATGAAGTTTATATCTATTTCAAAGCAATGAATGTTATCAATTTGGCAGGTTTGTACATACTATCTTATTAATTTTTTAAAGCATATCTGATAATATTTAGCCAATTAATCTTGTACATGAACTACTGGTATGGTAATTGAGACCTTATTAGGTCTCCAATAAAAAACAGCTTCCTTTATCTTGGATTTACAACATCTAAATTACTGCACTAATATTGAAATCTATTCATGTGTGTTTCTAAGATATCATAAATCACTCCTGAAACTACTCTATGGAACTAGTGGAATCTTGCTTATAGATAATATATACTTACTTTGCTAAATAATTTTTCCAACTGGTCATCATATTCTCTGGTCTGCAGTGTATTTCCAATGGCCTCCTTGAATTCTTCCACATTTAGTGCCCCAGGCTCTCTGATCTCGTAGGTGGTAGGTCTATAGGGAGAGTTAGACTCCACTGTGATAGGGGGAGGGTCATGGTTTTGAAAAAATCTCATCAACTGGTGAAGGTGCTGAAGCTTGAACTTCTGCTCCAACTTGAGATTCTCATCTTGGTTGAAACTGGAAGAATTAAAAATTTGAACTAGGTTTGTGTTTGTGACAGCTTCCTCCATTATTCAATTTGATCATCTGTGCTTCAATTATTTTGTTCCAATATCTTTTTTGAGCAACTCCAAGAAAATATCTCTCAGTAAGTTGTAATCCACTACATCTTTTTCAGTGACAAAGCCATCTATATTCCACTCTTTCCAGTTTGTATTTTCACAAAAATCCTCAAAGGCAGCTCATAGAATTTTCCACAAAGATTCAAATTCTGCCTAAAGCTTGAAGGTCCCTGCTTAAAGGTACGGAACTGCTAGATACATGAAGATCACTTGGCCTGAGAGGCAAAGGTTCCACTTAATGGTTTTAATAATAAAACAGCCATAATCTCACTCCCTCACAGGTCAGACACACCAGGATTTCTTTTCAAACAATATCACACTAAACCTTTGCAAATGTAAAGCTTGATCTTTTATGCAAATAAGGTTGCTAATATTAGTTGCTGCACTTCACAAACAATGTGACATGAATAAGAGCGATGCAGCAGCATTCATTGCCTATATTACCCTTGATAAATTCCCTGCCTGGCATTATAAATAAGGGATAAACTTAATACATTTTACCAGTAAAAGGTTATCTTAAATTTACACAATTGATGTTCAGGCTCTACTGATGGGGGACACATTTTTGGACCATTGCAATTACGAGATATTTCATTAATTTTTTTCTAAGATAGGTTTTATTTAAAAGGAGACCACATTTTCTCATTGGCAAGAGTTTTGATAAGTAAAATACAAGTAATATCATCATTTTCTCTGTATAATATTCCAAAAATCCACTCCATCTTTTTATTCATTCATTAATTTTTGCAATATTATATTTTTATCAGTTCCAAAGACATAATACTGTATTGTTCTGAAGATAATCGCTAATAAGAACTGATTAGAGTTAATTGCTATGTAATATTCAGTATAGATCAAGATTATATAAAGATTTTAAAAAAGTAGATAAATAAGTTGTATAACCTATGACAATTAATCAAATGTTACCTATGACAAAAAAACTTTATATTTTCTTTAAAGACTTGAAAGACATGGTATACTATCACTAAACCTCATTAAACATTAATCCCTATACAATACTTCATATGTTTTAATGAAATATAGTACATCAAGCATGTCATTAAAAACACATATAAAATAAAGAAAATATCAAGCATGCCATAGAGTTTGACCACCCATCAACACATAAATCAAAGAAAGCCAATTTTTCTAATTACCTAAACTATTCATGGTTACATTATTGATCTGATTGATCAACATACCTTCCTAAATCCATACCTCATGGAGCAATTACTGAAAACAGTTGGAAAACTGCCCTAAAATTCCCCTCACTTCTCACCCCTTGTAACTCTTTTCCTACAGTTATATTATACTGGGCATATGGGTCACAGTTTAATTGAATCAGAGAAAGCTGATAAATTGTGTTCTATAAGATGTTTTTCATTGAATTGGTATCCAGGTGTGAGACTTGACTTATCTTTTATAAACAGGTCATTTGTGGATTTTAATTGCAGCTCTTTCATTCATGCTGTATTTATTGCATTAAGTTGCTGACTAGAAGTCGATCATTACTAGTAAAAAAAACATGGAAACTGCAGCAAAAATTAGCCAAGTTCTGACAAAAATGAGATTAACTGACATAAAGCTACCAAAATTAAAATAAAATTTCCTTTAGATTTTAATGCAGTGATCCTCAAAGAAAAAAGAAATTTGCAGACAACAGGTCTAAAACTAACAAATTTCAGTGAAGTATCTACAGTAGTGGTGTCTTTATTTCTGGCAATCTAGATTACAGTAACTTAAAACCCCACTTATAATTGCTTTATTTGGAATTCAAAATTATGAAAATAGGATATTCCACTGTTGGTGAATATTTTAGGGTTATTTCCGCCTTAAGTTTAAAATAAATCACATGACACCTTGAAATGTTTATCAGTTCTATCTCAAAATCTGGTAAAATCTGCTTATTTACTGTGTGATCAAAGGTAAAAAACGATTTCAAATTAACTCTTAAATATGCCATAAAAATTCTGAATTATTCTAAAAATTTATGTATAATGCAGTAACTGTCCAGTACTTTCATTCATTACTTAACATCAGTGACAGTAAATAAGTCAAAACAAAGAAGCGTAATTTTTAATAATTTAAGTATGAATAAGATTCATTATTTAGCACTTTTTAACTGTAGATTTATGATATTTGTTATAGTATAATAAAACCAAGAATATTTTAGTATCAAGTCATTACTAAGATATTTTTCTGTTGATTTTGCCACATTAGATACAAATACTTCCCAAGTGTCTCCCCATTGTAGAGAAATGAAAACCAGCAAAACATACTTAATGCTATTGATATCCTGAAACTACAACCAACATTTCAAAACAGAAAATTCAAATCTACCTTTCAATGAGAACCTCAAGTAAATCTTCATAGTCACTAGCCATCGTAGAATTCTCCTGCAGAACGAGTTACATCTATAACACTGGCATCTTGCCTCAGTTGTTTCTATTGTTAAAGTCATAGGACAAATCAATTGGATGTATTGATACTAAAATGATTCCCAAAGACCTCAACTTGTAAGTCCTTCATTCTGGCATTTCAAAAAAATCAATCAAATGCACCCAGCAGAAAAACATCAATTTGTTTAGATACGTTGGAAAAGAGTTTAAACACTACTTTAATTGTTATCATTATGTTACAGGGGTAAATACACATACACATCAATGTTGTTTCAGGATATACAGTCACTTCAGGAAAATATATCAATATTGGGTGACACGTGAGAGCAATTTATGGTTGTTTTTCTATGATGGTAGTTCACCCGTGAGCAGTGAAAGTAACCTCAAGTCAAAGAGTAACTCTATTTAGTGGATCAGGAAACCTGTTAATATGGTCCTCTTTGGATAAATTTGTACAGCTTTGGTATGTGCTGTGGATCAATATGTTCATTGCGAAAAATGCTTAATTCAACTACGTCATTGAGCTTCAAAACAGATGATAAATGGCGAGAGAGAGAGAGAGAGAGTCTAAGAGAGAATCTTTTGTCCAATACTAATGATAGAAACAGAACATACCTAGTAAGTAACTATTAACAAAAAGCGCAACTTGCAATTTACAAATAAAGAAACTGATTCTTAAGAACAAAAACATAATATTTAGGTTATTGCAAATAGCTTATTGTCAGAATTTTTTAGGTTTATTTGCTAAACATGTAGCCTAGAGAGTTAAATATCACTCTCTGACAAACAAAACAAAACCATTAACCCTTATTTGAGCAGCTTTTTTTTTCATTTTGTGCTTTGTTTTTAGGACTCAAGTATAATATAATTATTTTAAAGTACAGTAGTGATAAAATATTCTAATATTTTTCTGAAAGACCTAAAACACACTTTTTGCTATCAGCACTGAGTTACGTATCACAAAGAAAGAACAGAATTCAGTTAATTTCCTTCAGCCTAAACAAAATATTTAGCTAATGGAAATATTCTACAAGATACAAGTTGCAAGAACACAGCCTCTGTTCTTGAAGTAGTGTTTTATCTCTGGTGTTTTGGAGACAGTGTCACAGGTCTGATAGACATGGGGTCGAGGTCACAGACGATCCAGGCTTATCTCTAAGGCCAGACTGTTCCTTAGTTACTGCACTGCCTGCCCCATGCTACCTAAGACATGCTGAAGAATGTCATAGTTTACGTTTTGCTTTGCTGGAGTAACAACACCTAGTGGGTAAACTATTCTGTCAATCATATTCAACATAGATACAATGTTATATTTTCGGTATCACAAGGAATATTTTCAATGTAGTGTTTCTAATATAGTGATAATAAATGATTAACCCTATAATGTTCATGAAAAGTCTAAAAAGGGAATTTAGTTATTAAAATATTACTAAAGATTTACTAATCTATACTATTACTACTGGCAAATATCAATGGTTATAATTCTAAACAGCAAGCTTAAGATTGCATTATTGTTATGTACTATTTAAACCCAGCCAATATGAATTACTAATATATTCAGACCACATTTCCCAGTCAAATGGCATGTCAGATTGTCACCTTAACAGATGCAACAAAAGTGTTTGCAAAAAAGTTTTTAGTTAGCTTTTTAACCCTATGCCCTGTTTAGGTACAAGTGTCAATTATAGGTCTTAAATGAAATGTTAAACACCCCAGATGAAAAATGACAAGTGACTACATTAATTTAATTGTACATACAGTGCATTTCAGTTGTAAGGAATGGTTGCCTTCTTTACTTGTATTTGTAAGTTGTTAATTGGTGAACACTGAAGAAAACTAGTTTTAAAAACCCTCTATCTAGGATTAAAACTTATACAGTTTGTGTAAATTCTAACAGATGGAACTTGGTTACCATTAATTTTTTTGGAAAAGAGCATGAAGTGGCAACTGAAAGCAGGACTCAGTGATTATGTGGACTTACGTTCGTCTGACATCTTTCTCCTCCTCTCTCTTTTTAAGTTGTGTAACTATCCCAGTAAACTTTACTCTCGGTTTCCTTTTCCTTTTACTATTCTTTCTTGCACCTCCATTACTATCATTTGAGGCTAGTTCTGGCAGAAAACTACTGCATGTGTCAGTTTCAGATGTCGTCTGCTTCTCTTCCAGCTGATCAGAGCCATTCTCTGAAACCATGGTACTTTCTTCCTCCGAAGCAGAAGTTGAACTAGATGACCCAGTCAAACTCATATTAATAGCTTACTGATAACATTTTATCTTTCTTTCTTTCCATGGCTGTCTTCTTGATCATACACAAATTTCATTAGTAAATCCATTAACTTTAGTGCAAAGTTTAAATTCATGTTGCTCTACAGTCAGAGAGTGAAGCATTCCACAGCTCTCTCAACTAATGGTTTCCAATGCTTTCTTGTTTTTTCTCTTGAGGTCAAAGTAGAAAACCTTGGCACATGGAAATTTCTTGGCATATAACAATATCAAATTACCAGTTGTTTGCTGAATTGTTTCCAAATAACATGTAAGGAGTTGATGATAAATTATGATAAATTGCTTGACGAGAATGTTTCCTGGAACTGTTATGATTAATTAATCCTTATTCAGAGTATGTAAAAAAATCTTGAGATATCTGCCTAGTGACGAGATTCACTCAACCAGTGAAAATCAGTTGCCTTAAGTATCTTAAAAAAAAGGTTTCAATAAAACCGTCTCTGTTATGTCATCAAATAAAGGTGTAGCACTTAAACAAAGTCTAGAAACAGACCTTAATATATGACACATAAACCTTCCATTAAACAAATGTATTCGGTACAGCATACAATCTTAGATTAGCTCAGGACATGTTCAGTAAACCTAGATAAAATCCGTCTTACAGAATCTTGTCTTGGCGTCTCTCGTAAGCTGGGGTCAAGTTTTCAGTCAATAGAACAGCGTTTTGGATCTCCGGGCTACTGTTAGAATAGTATGGTTTGAGGTGCCAAAATATGTGTTTAAGGCAAGATCACACAGGTCCCAGTGGCAACATTAACTGCTTTTTCTTCCTTGTGTTTTTCCTTCCTTAAAACTGCTACATAAACTTGCTTCCCTATTGCTTCCCATTAGAATCGCTATATATCTTCCTCCAAAGCACTTTGCCTTTCCCTGAGAGCACATACACCCCTTTTCACAGTGTGAGCATTTTCCATTAGGAATGTTTTTCCATATGAGGCACTAATTCTATCACATCTCAAAGTGGAGTACTATCAGAAAAATAATACACGACCCTGATGTCAGCAGAAACATAATAGATGAAGGGTGCAAATGCACGCCACATGGCCCACTTGATTGCCAGGTAACTGGCAATTCTTGTTTAACAATCAATAGACCAAAGTGATAGCTGCTGTCCTGATGTTAGGTCTGATATTCTACCTCTCCCAATATTGGCAACATTCCTCGAGTTCGGGCAAAGTGTGATAAAGATAAAAAAAGATGTAATTTTTAACCCATCAGTTCCCCATCATTGCATCTGAATATCAAGTTCTATAGCCACAGAATGGCTAACATGATACACCTGGTTTATTTCTAATGTAATACATCCATCTATAATCAAATATTTGTTATACTATGTGCAATTGTATTACATTTCAAGCAAAACATTAAATCCCCATTTGAGCTGGAGGCACTTTAAAGGCAGTGCTGGTTATTTAATCTTATTGAACTGCCATACATGATACAATTGAATTGTTACAAAGCTAACCACATTTTAGTAGAGTGCTTATTTGTGTTCATAGAGTTGCTGTTATCAAAGTCAATGAGGTAAAGAATATGAACACAACTTCAATATTATTTCTCATTTGGGCTGTATTAGAAATAATATCAAATCTTTTTATCTTTTCAAATAAGCACACCTGCTACATTCCTTGTTATAAACAATTTACATATTTATTCTAAATTAATTCTGTAACACTTATTCACTTTTTGTTGTTCACTTAACAGTAATTCAATTTGATTTTTTTAGCATCTGAAAAAACTCAGCTGGCAAATAAAAACATTTTTGAGCAAAAGTGTTTGAAAATACTACGAAAGAGAAGAATTAGAGAAAAAAAGAAACAATCTACCTAACATAAGCCTCCATCCCTTCCATGGTTATGCATTCTTCAAGTGTCTCCTTATATTTAGTGATATTCTTTCATCTTATATAAATACTACTGTTATCTTGGGAAAAAATTAATGAAACTTAAAAATAAATTCTTCAATATTGGATACTCTACATTACAAATGGCATTTTATGTTTTTTATCAAATGTTTTCTCACTGAAAGATAAGATCACAAAAGTTGTATTACGATTTTAAATAAATGGGTAATATACCTAAAAACAAATTAAACCCCTTTCTTGTGGTCCAAAATCTATTCTAGTGAAATGTTCTTTAAAAATATTTGACAAACTGAGAAATAATAACTAGCATTAGAAAGAAAGGCATAGAAAAGATGCAGACAAACCCCCAGCCTGGTTTAATGCATGTTTTAAGTTCACCAAGTTCAAAACTTAGCTTTAAAATAAAATGAACCAAAAAGCTCCTAACTCTCAGTAAATATTTGCTTTTCTTTTCAGCTGGGTCTGCAAACACATTAGTGGTGCCTTAGTTACCCCCTGTTGACTAACACACACAACACACTTGGGGTTCTTCACTGCTCTTGGCACAACCAGCATTGCATGGTCACAACTAACACATTTTCTTATAGGGAAATTTAACTCCTTTCAAGCTGAACAAATATTTTCTATCTCTGCACAAGCACACAGTGCGTTTCTGAAAAGCCTACATTGGGACTTTGTTACATCTCTTATACAAACAAAATAGTGGTCTGGCCCATATTCTATGATGAGTTAATATTTCATATTTATGTAGGCACAAAAGTAGAAAAGTGTATAGATAGTTTTTCAATTCTTTTCTAAAATATGCCTCAGATGGTATATATCTCAATATCAACAGTGACAAAACAAACTAGATTGTCCCAGTTCATGAGCAGATAAAATTTTGCCCATAAATTTCAGAAAATATCTCGTATTGTAAGGGTACGCAGGAAATCTCATTTCTTTCACCTTTCAATCTTTTCTGGGTTGGCAAAGCTTCTCCTCCTCGCACTGTCTGCCACACTCAACAAGCCCTGGAGGAGAAGAATGGAATCTTAATCAATTTTGCACCAACATTTCCAAAGAAAAAAAAATCAGTATTATTTTTTAATGCTAGCTGTAGACAAGAAGCTGTACATGCAATTGACAAATGATACTGAGGTGAAAGTTGTCGGGTTATTAACAGGACAGGTTCAGAGGAACATCAAACAGTTTCTACAATGCAAAACAAACCCTTGAGGATAGAAATCGAACATGAAATAAATTCAGTTGAATCTGCCCTATAGCTTCAAACAACTCAAGCAAAAAAATGATTGATAAGTGGATCAATTGTATTGAACAAGACAGTCACTACAAACAATATTAGCGTCCATGCCCTGCAGGAAAAAAGGCAACAGTCAAGATACTGATGAACATTTAAACACAAAAATCTAAAAAGACCCATCTTTCTACAACCTTTGAAACATACCAATAAACCTGGTGAAACATTTTACCTTATTACAGCCATTATTACTCATTTCATTCATTGTAACTCATCTTTAGGTAATCCATAAGTGTGTTTATCAGTCTTTCAGATATTGTATGAATCCTTTCTTTGTTACTTGGCCTCCAATCGCCGTTATCTTTACAGCCTGACCTGTGCACCACACACTAAATCTCTTATATAGTAATATGCTTACCGGATGCTTAAGATTTTCATCCCCCCTTTTTTTGACCTGAATAAATATTTCATGTTTTTTTATCCTCCTCTTGTTCTGTGTAAATACCTTAAAGCGAGGTAACTGTTGCTAGAGTGCACCAGAGACTTGCGAAAGAGTAAATATTGGCATCAATAATGAGCAAACACACACAACTGATCCTCAAAAAACTATGGAAAAAAATGTTCACGTTTGATTGTGCTTAACTTTTTCTCTTTTATCATATACAGAGTGCTTAATTGATTTACCTACTGACACCTGTCTTGACGTCATTTAAACAACATCACAAAGAAGTTTTACAAAACTTTGGCTTGTAGGCTATTACACTTTTTCTCCTGTAGGAAACAAAACCATCTGATCATAAATACAGCCTGTTAAAAACCATATGATTCTAGTTTTAATTTCTCACAATTTTTCTTTACACAAAATGGCTGCACAAAAATTTGGTGTAAGAATGACGCTTTCACACAATGATGCTAGGTTTGACTGAATATAAACATTTTGCACAATAAGCCACACTACTAACTGGAGAAAATAATTATATATGCAACGGTTTTCTAAAAAAATTGATCAAGTATTTTGCAGACTAACATCAGTTTGTAAAAATCATCATATATCAAAACACCACTGTAATATTATACAGAACTAAATAAAATGACTTTAAAAGCAGGTAAAATCTTTTCTATACTCTTGGTTGTTGTGCAACTTCCAATTAAACTTAAGCATGATTTTGCATGTACCTGTATCATATTGTAAATTAGGACACCATTTTATCAAACTCAAACTGATAGTGCAGTAAAACTCAAGTGAGTTAATAAATAAAACTGCCTAGGTGTGATAAAAAGATACTACAGTTCTTATAAATTTATTGTCTTTTTGAAAGAAATACCTTTAATTTCAAACCGCAAATTTATCTACATTTCAATCAGTCCTGAGGACAGTATTGAATAACTGTAGCATCTTTATCTTTATGATATGGAAGTTTGCTAAAGCCAACATAATTCACCTGTTAAAAGATTAGATATTGTTCAAAACTAGTAGATAATCCTTAAATCTCTGTAGTTCATAAATCAGCACTTACTTGGTTACCAGACCATCACCTGAAAACATCACTTTTGCAGAATTGTTAGTATCTTTAAAAACTCAGGTGACACCATAACTGATTTTTTTAAGAAATGTGGTCCAGAACTTAAACATGTATGACATGAAGTAACTATACAATTTTAGAAGATATAAAACAAAATGAATTGATGGTCTTCATTGTTTTCAATGGACAAACAACTGTTATCTTTTAAGTTTTATCTTCAGTTTTCATACGCATGATATTTACAAGTGTAATACTCAACCATAAATATCTCTTAGGCTTCATTCACATGGAATGTCTATTTTCTAAAAATCTATTTTCTATTCGCGGTATCTTATGATCACGGTCTGTGCCCTGAATATCCCGCCGCGTAATTACTGGCAGCGCGAGCCAGTTACTTATAGTAACTTATAGTAACTGGCTCGCGCTGCCAGTAATTACGCCTTATTCATGACTCAACTAAATGTGATGAGTTTATCTGAATAAAAATGTTTAACCTTAAAAAAAAACCTAAATGGAACACTGCTTAATTCAATTGCAAAAATTTACCATCACAACAAAAAAATTAAAAAAATTGCAGTGTCTTTCTAATTGAATTGAAACATCAATTATATACTAACAACAAAAGCCGCCAGCCCTTCTGAGCAACCTAAAAAATACATGTACAGACTTTTTTTAATCAAAGATGATTTAAATAAACTGAAATGTAACAAAGGATTTTCAGTGTTTGTAATAAGAGAATACTGTAATGATTCGATCTTTTCAATGGGCAAAAAAATCAAACTTAGAGATAAATCATTTTAAAATCATAGAAATTATATTTTTATATAGCAGTCGTGGTGCTACAAGTGGTCCGCTTTTAATTTTTTTGCAACCACTCAATAGTAATGCTCTTATTTTAAGAAATCATGATTAAAAGAGTACAGTATCTGTAAAATTCACAATTTCCCTCCATTAAAAAGACCGGGTCATTACTGTATCTCAAGAGCAAGACAGTAACATTTTAATACCTTATAAAGAGAAATAACCAATAATATATAAATCTATAAATTAAAGAAACTCTAGCATACTAAACACTGTCGATCTAAAATATCCTGCAGACATAAAAGGCTTGCGAGTATACAATACAATTCCTTCAAATTTCTACTAAAAATATGAAAACACCACCAAAGACAAGAGTAGAAGTCAAGACAGTGAAATCCTTATAACTTAGATATGTCTTAATCTGAAACAAACTTACACCAGCCACAGCAGCTTCTATAAATTTCCTCAGTGTCTCCTCTACATCTTCCCCTGAAATCTGGTCGTCCTCCATCCTTTACTGAAACAGTCTTGGCTGTGAAAATGTCATCAGATTTCTATTGATTATGTCCCATCATAGTGATGGCAGATGCATACGAGCCAGCAGTTTATGGTACATAAAGGGATAATAACTCTTCGTATGAGATCTATATTTCACAATAAAAACATTGTAAACAACTCATAGAAATATAATATATTATTATTTACCACAAAAATGGAAGGTATAGCTATTATTCTGATATCTGAGCTTGTCATCGGAACATGAACGCGACCTCCATAGATGGCTATACTCTGTAATAATCTCTCAAGAGATTATTACAAAAAAAAAAACTTTTTAGAAAAAAAAAAGGGACTAACTTTAAATGTAAAAATGGATTCAATAACCATTGGCTAGTATGGGAAAATTGTTATTTACTCCAGGAAAATTCATTTTTTGGCCAAAACGAACAGTTATTATCCCTTTAAGAGTACATCTCCGATTCCTTGCCAGGTATAACAATGTTTCACTGATGTTTTTTCTGATCTGTACAATTGGTTAAAATCTGCAATATACTGAAAATCTTGGCCACTCAAATTATCCGTCTGATGACCCCCATTTCACATGCACATAATTTTTTTTCTTTTGACAGGTGTGACAAACACACAAGTTGTTTTCCCACAGATCCTTGATGACTGTTAAATCGACAGGATGTGCTCTAGTTCTTCAATGCAAAAATCAACTGCCAACTGGAGAGGAAAGGCCTGGGCATGCTCATCATCTGTGACAGCAGACTCTTCTCAACTGGACCCTTATTATTCAGCCATCCACATATGAAATGTTGTCCACCAAGAACCAGGATTTCTCATATACTTTGTACACACCACACACTTGATTTCTGTTTGCTCCTGCAGTCCTTTCTTTCACTATCCTGGCTAAACTGACTATTGGGTTACTTCATAATGTCAATAATTACACCGGCCACAAACTTAATCAATCAGCGGTTTGTTTCTGATGGAGCAGCAGATTAAGTCTTAAACCTCTCTCAGACTGACATTTCTAACACGTTAAGGGACACTCATGTCCAATCTGACTCTTAGCAAACTGGACATCTTAATAATGTGCTATTTATGTAGATTCTGTGTACTAACAGTGGACCGTTATCACTTAGTATGTGTTAAGAAGAAAGACAAATCTGAAATTGAAAACTTTAAGCTGCCGAAGTCTTAAAGTCCACAGCTAAGCCTTTCCTGAAAAGAAGGGGGATTACAAAACCCATGTTAGGAAATAGATTGTAGAGTCTCTTCATAAATTGAAAAATATAAGTGATATTAAAACCCAAGGCAAACAAGTTAAGGGAAGAGAAGTATATTAGACTTGAGTGTAAATCAACCACTGATGTTGACTGATGTTGACAAGTGGATTTTTGCAGGGAATATTAAATTCTGTTGCATGATTTATATATTTCGTAATGTCTCTGTTGTGAAGGAGAAGATTATCATAACACTTCATACATGAGCCCATACCTAATTTCATAACTCATTCATCAGAAATTATTGATAAAATTTCTATCTGACATTTGGCATGAAAAATGCTTACTGATGTACATAAATGTATTTATATGTGGTAAGCTAATATCATCATTTCAAAACATCTTTACTGATTAGATGAAAACATCTGACAAATCAGCTGCTATTTTATCTCTCTTCTTAATGAATCAGTTTTCCTTCTTTTTCTTTTTGTTTTTTAATGAACATAAAAGGATTTGTATGTTAAGTATATAAAAAGTTTATGTCCATTCACCATCATACTAATCTACTGTGCTTTATATAAAGAAATTCATTTCTTTTTTCTACGAGCCATTTTTTTAAATAAAAAGGAACCACACAAAAAGCAAAAACACTAAATACCATTCTTTTATTTTTTATAAAAAGAAACCATACAAACTACACCAAAACCACTACTCCAGCTGCCCTTACCATTTTCAGTCTCTGCTCATCATCTTGCAGTAACTGTCCCAAGGCCCTAGCAAACTGTTGCCATAGCACCTTCTTCATGCTGTCCAACTGTCCAGCTGCAACCCCTGGCTTTCTGCCAATGTCTGACATTTTTATTGTCAGCAAGGACCTCTAAGTATTCTACAAAAATTGAAATGTAGTAGGCCTTTTTTTAGTTAACACATTTTAAACTTGTTTTCCTTTTGTAAGACTAGACTAGAAAGAGAAAATTAGTACATATGTATTATCTCAACTGAATGTCTCAAATCTTTCCATTTTTTTCTCTATATTTAAAGATACTCCATTTTTTTCATGCAGAACTTATTAATTCTTTGAATAAATCAACAGATTCTTTGAATAAATCTACAAATGCTTGCTTCAACATATTTTAATCAAAATTCATTCATTCAAAATAAAGTGAGATTTAGTGGAATCATTACATATTTGCTAAAAATATTGGCGATCACGGCTTGCAATTGGGCATAATGGCACATACAGACAGCAATGAACTTTTCCATGACCTGCTTTTACTTACTTTGCAGTAAACAGATTTATTTTTTTATTTTCATTTGATAATGCCAAAATTGTAATTCTCACAAAAATTTTATGTAATAATAAATGAGTACACTTCAAGTACTGAATGGTGGCAATATGAATACTTACATTCAAATTTGGCATTTGTGTCCGACTCCTCGAGAGTCCTTATCCTCGACAAGATCTAACTTCTCACCTCTTTTTTAAAATAATTTCTACTACTTAATCCTTTCTTTTCTGTCTCTAGGCTATGAGAATAGCCATTAAACCCATTAGGCACAGCAGTTTACCCTTCTTTAGTACAACTTCCACTTGTGTTGATTTTGTGTGACCATTCTCAATAACAGGGTTGGGGCAATATCAACACCCAAACACGCCAGTCTTTTGATACAATTCCACTGCCTCAGCAAGCACGGTGAAACTGCTCAGCTAATTGAAAAACATGGTAATTCAGACATTTGTTGTTGTTCTGTCAATATTGAGTCCAACTTTGATTTGGGAGAGAAAAGTCAGTTTGGTGCCCCGAGCACCTGTTCGTATGGCAGGTAAATACAGAATACTTTATAAAACTAGCCAGGAACAACTGGTACAAATATATAATCAGACATTACTTCAGCAAATATCAGTTGGAGCCACTGGAACATGTTTCCTCTTTGGTCATTGTCTATTACAGCATAACACAGCTTGACAATAGACATGGATTTGATTAAGGGGGGGGAGGATGAAGGAACTATATCAAACTTGGTGAAGCAATAAAACAAAGATTTTCAATGATCCCAAAAATTTATCCGTATTTCAGAGCAATTTCTGTTTTTGTTTTTCAACATGTAATTGACAAAGAACAAGTTCAAAATATTAGTTTTTTTGTCAAAAATTAACAATTGATGATAAAATTGATTTTAAGATAGGGCTATTTTTGTTTAAGGTAACAGTTACGATTTACTGTTAGTTCATATTTTATTACTATTAGCTGTACAGATTTTTGAATTTGACAGAAAAAGACTACAAGATGGAATTCTTAAAATTACAGAGTGAAGGATTTTACAAATACGTTCAGTGCATGAACTACTTTTCAGTTTTGACCATATTTTAACATAATATTAATTTTAAGCTGATAAAAGTCAATCAACGTTACAAAAAATTGACCACCACCTCCCAGTGAACCTTGAAACCAGTCAACCATTTGATGCTTTTAAATTGCCTGGAATTAAGAACATATTGTGAGAATTGAGCTCAAAGGAATGGAGGGTTTTGAAAAACCATTACTTAAGCATGGGTTAAAAAACTTAGTAACTTTTTCAGGTGTAGAATAGGGATAATAGCAAGTATCAGAAAAGGAGAAACAAATGTTGTTTAGTTGGAAAAAAAAACCCCATTTCCTCAAGAAAAAAAATTGTTAAGGAATTCCCACACTGTGCACCTTTAAAAACTAGGTTTGATCTTTGTTTGATCATATTGATTTTTATTCCCAGTTAAAATCCGACTAATGCATGGTTTACATGATGAGTTTACACAGTTTACATGTATGCCTTGGCAACTTGGAAGACTACAGGTTGTATTTACAGGTGTACTTAAGACTCAAGTTTCAACATATGCATAGATAAAGTGATCAAAATAAAGACTTTTTTGCTGAAGCTGATAAAGCCCGGATAAAAATTATTCTGTCTTTTGAAGTAACTTCTTAATATAATTTAAGACAAAAATTACTTATAGAAGATTCTCAAGAGATACACAGTATGCCATCTGCCATCCAATGCTGCCAGTTTACCTCAAGCATAGCTTTCTGTGGACAGATCATAAGCAAAAATAGAGCATACTGGAATCCATGGTTTACAGATGTACCATAACAGGTTTCTGGGTTTACCTGCTGTATTTAAGCTATATAGTTTTTAGAATCACCATGTAACTGGTAAAAAAAAGCTGTAGACATTATGTTGGACCTCAAATCTCCTTTGACATGTCATTAAGATGTCAGAGAACATTTTGTATTATAGATAGAAGTACTCCTCATCATGAAAAACTGTTCCATGCTTTTAAAACCCTCTTGAAGTCCTTTTTCATAATATAGGCAAAATAAAATAGCATAATATATATGTTGTAATGAGAATACAAATGTAGATCACGTTGTTAACATATTTATTCCAGTACAAGCCGTTCCAATAGTAACATAAAAGCAATTATCACAGCTCTTAATCTAACAGTCATTCAATATTGACAGTCCCTAAGCAAAGAGAAACAAATCTCCCTGCCTGAAACTGGATAAGTCAAAGTCGATGAACTAACAAAATATATTTGTGTGCATGTTTCTTCAGTTCTATCTCCAAGTATAGCTGTAACTTGACAACTGGTCTGCATGAATTGAGGGTAAATACATTGCAATCAGGCTCTTCTTAATAAATACACAACAGCATTTGACATATTTAAACAGGCATCAAAGTTGATTCAACAAAAGCAGCTAAATGTAGCTAAAAAAACCTGAACAAATGACATCACCATACAAAGATCAAGAAATAGTTTCCATTAGCATGTACTCCCTTACCTTTACACGAATAGGTCAACATGCCCTTCCTTCAATCTCAATAAACAAACAAGTTTTTCAAAATTTGTGAAACAATACAATCTTTTCAATAATATAAATGTACTTTAGAATGACATGTTCACCCTAAAATTTAATTTTTTCACCTGTACGCTGGACCTGGCTGGAAAGATGGGACACCTCCAAACTGAGTTACCACTGGAGGTGGTGGCGCTGGAGCACTGCCAGAGACACTGGCCAGTCCCTGGTCATTTTGAACAAATCTAGAATCCATCATGGGAACTGAGGTCATGGGAGGCATTTGTGGAGCACTGGATTGAGGTGGCGGGGGCATATATTGTGGGGGTTGGGGCACAAACTGAGGCAGAGGTCCCACAGGTGGTGGGAAACCAAGCATGGCTCCTTGGGGATCAGTCTGCATCGGATGTGGATTTCTTGTGTAAACTGGAGCTTTTGGAAACCGTTCACCTAAGTTTTGCCCCTGGCCCTGTGAGGGCCATTGCCCATGTAGAGGATATCTTGGTCTTGGCCCCCATGATCTGGGCCTGGGTGGCATCCCCAGGTGTGGTCCACTAAAACGTGGGTGCATGTGTCGAGGGGGACCCCAGGGACTCCATGCTGGTCCCCTCATTGGTGGACCCTGATTCCAGGGATTGGGCGGCCATCTTTGTTGTGGTGGTGGTGCAGGTCCCTGTGATGCCCCTGGCTCCCAGTCACCACTGCCTGGACTGAAGTTAGCAAAGTGAAAATAATGAACCCTAGATCCTTTCTTTTTGTAAAAAAATTTAAGCTCTGAAATGTTCAGAAAGAATGCCGACTCGGACAGAAAATATCAGAAACATAATCCTACAGATTTTGATCACAATTCAAGCATACTGTCAAATATTTTGGTTGAGGATGGTTACAATAATACTCAATACATTTTTTCAAGAATTTGGAGATAAAAGTAATATTGACAACTCACTGTTTTTTTGTTCTATTTTTCTTGCGTTTGGGTGTATTAGCAGCAGTATCAGAGGCCTCATCTCCTCCCTCGCTACCTGGCTCACCACCTCGCCCTCGCATCCTGGTCTTCATACGCTGCTCTTCTTCATCATCAGAGTAATCCAAAAACTGAAAGCCATAGAATTTTACTTCTGTGAATTATTTCATCTTAGTGCTAAGAAGTTAGCATTGCTTATTAAATAAAGTTAAATGGTTAAATCCTTAAATACAACTGGTGAGTCATATCAAGTAAACCATGTCCAAAATATGACTAGAAATTTAAACTGTAGACAGCATACATTTCATCTGCGAGTTGACCAAGATGCACTACTACATGGCTGACAAGCCTATTGGTCACAGAAAAATAGTCAAACACAGTACACATAATTACATAACTGTTCATTTTGGTATTAAAAAAATTGTCAAACACAAGGGACATATAATTACAAAAATCTCGATGTTTCTTGACAAATAAATTGTTAAAAATAACACTTACCCTTGGTGGTGGCTCATTGTTATGTTCCCAAGATGCATCTGAGCCTTTCATTCTAAAATAAAAATGTGTTACAAAATGACCAGTCCTGACACCCAATATTACACTTATCTATGCTATTGACTGATTTTGTTCTTTACTGTTTAAAAAATGCTGTTAACATATTACCAAAGGCATTTTTGATATCATTTTGACTTCATCAGTTTTTAAGGGTAATTTAATATAATGGAAAGGAGAACTGCACTTCACATTTCCCTGGACGCTAGCCATTTGTCTGTACAGTAGGTAGGATTACACGAGGGCTGCATTTCCTTGGCTGCATGATAGTGGCAAATGATTATGCTACAGTCAAAAATTGTTTTTCATTTTTTTATTTGGCTATGTAAACCTGAACAAGGCCTTCTAATGGACTAAGTGAAATTGGCAAAAGTTTATTAAAACACCATCCTATAGGGAGTAGTAGACTAATTAGTCTTTGTATAAGGGAAGCATAATCTTTTTTTTCCCTTATGCAGAGGATTACACTGTCCTACAAATCATTTTTTTTAATAACAATACCTCTTAAGCTGCTCCACGAAAACATAATGTGTTAGGTCCTCTACTTCAGGGGCGCAGGTAATCACCTGACCCACGGTGACCCCCTTGGATTCTATGTCTTCTGCCGAATTGAAGCGCACAGAGTAACAAGGCTGAGGGACTGGGCCAAATACCTCAAATATCTGCAATCATGAAAAAAATTGAAGACTAGACACACAAACTGAAAAAAGAAAACCGAAAAAAGAAACCTGAGAATATTTTAACAGATATACATAAAAGTATCAAATCGAAAGGGATTGGATAATAAAGCAGATAACAATTGGAACATCAAATTTTAAAACAAGCTGAACTGCACAAAACTTAAATGGAATGATGATACCATACATCTGAATATTTTGCAAGCTCTAGTTTTTTTTTTACTAAAGAATAAAAAGTTTCTATTTTTGATAAAGGGAATAATCAGTGACTGATTTACTGAAGAATGAGATATTTTTTGTCTCCAGCCCTACCTGTCCTAGTACCACTCTTCCCTCCATGAAAAGCACTGTTTCCTCATTTAGAGCTGGAAGGTTTGGGTACTGCTGGATGACAACTAGAAATAGATACAGAATATTTGTTACAAAATAAGTCACACATACAAGCTAAATTCTGGGTGTTTTGCTTTTCATCTTTGGTAAATGCTTTTACAGACTCACTGAGAGATAGGACCTATTCCCTTTTAAACACTTACATCAATAGATGGGACTTATACTCGAATGCTAGGACAAGTGACTGATGCATGACCCCTGCGGGCCTTGTGTTTAGAGACTAAACTGCAAATTCCCAGCATGGTAACCTAGAAAGGTTACTCTAGCAGAGGTAAAAAAACATAACATTTCAAACACAATTTTTGAATAATAGTGATAAAAAACATAAACATAATGTGTGAAAAAAGCATCTGGTGTCTGTAAAATTCTGCCAAGTACCATATCACATGCTAGAACTGACCTGATGATGATGATGATGTTATACTCACCAAGGGTTCCAAGAATTTGAGACACTTTTCCAATTTCTCTCATGACCACAGTGTCATCCACATCTATCTCCAGTTCTTCAATAGGAGGCAGGTCCTGACAAAGACAAAACAACTTGGCTTAAACACATGAAAACTGAGTTAGATCATAAGAACCAATTCTTATTGATGCCCTTTAATAGGAAAATATACACTTTTACTAATAAGTATGAACTTAATATAAAAGTGTTATATATGTATCACACATACAGAAAAGCAAAAATTTATAGTGGGTAAAAAATATGATGCACTACTGTCATATTTACCACATACCATAGTTGAAATCAATTCCTAATCAAAACATTTATGATATTTTCTTTTTAACGTTTTATAAACTGATAACATAAAACTGCATTCAAACTTAATGTGTGTCATGATGCCTTGACGTGAACTTTACCTCCAATGTAAATTCTCCCTTAGTTTTGACAGGAATGGGTTTACTGGTGGACGTCTTTTCAGGTATCTCCATGTCTGAGGTCTCATCATCGCTGAAAAAAATCAAGACAAAATCAAATACACCAAAGTCTGAAGAAAATATTGCCTGGTAAAATCCTGTCAACAAGTATGGTCCTATAAAACATCAACAAGTAAGAAGTGAGGATCCTTCTCTTTATTGCTAGTTCACATTTAACTTCAAAATAAGTGTTTGTGTAAGCATGCATATGTGCATGCATGAGAGAGACAAGGATGGAGATCGAGAGAAGACATCAAAATCACAATAATTAGGTTGCTTTCATCTAGTTCAGCACACTTTCATTAGTTTACCTGCTGTCAGTTGAGGAGTCATCAGAGTCAGTACTATCTGAGCTATCACAACTGCTGTCTTCTGTATCTTCTTGTCTGTAAACAGCATTGGCTTTGGAGGGTTCAACTTTAAAATGAACAATTTCTTCACCGTCTTCCACCTTGATTTCTGCTTGTGTATTTAGAAAAACATCTGTTCTGTTCTCAGTGCCTACAGTATCAGATATGTTCCCAGAAATATCCTCTGCTGCAGCACTCTCATTGCTATCAGATGTGAACTTTGTAGAAACCGCATCCCCAGATGTCTGCACCAATCTCTCAAATGTCATAGAAGAAATGTGCCCAGATGACTGACTAAATGATTCTTGGTAAGGTTCCAACTTAAAATGAACACTTTCTTCACCATTTTCCTTCTTTATGTCTTCTTGTGCAATCATAATAACCTTATTACTGTTCTCAGTTCTTTCAGTACCAACTATGTTTCTAGAATTACCTGCAACTGTAACATTGTCGTTACAAGATGCTGACATTGGTTGTGCTGCAACTGTATCCTCAGTCACCTTACCCAAGCCATCCATTGTTACAGAGGAAATGTGGTGAGTTGATGTAGTCACTGCCTCTTGCAATCCATACCCGTGTCCCTCTGGTTTTGTTATATCATTCTCTTGTTTTATATCAGTCAAAGGCAGTGAACTTAAACAAGAAACATCTGGAAAAGAGTTGGCTCCTGTTGTTTTTGAGTCAGTGTTTTCTACTGGTTTGTGTTCACCAGTGTTTTCTTCATATCCATCTTCCTTCTCTGTTTTGACTTTTGTTAAGTCAAATCCAATGTTTTGATCTTCCTCAATGATATTTTCCTGTTTTATGAGTGCCTGGTTATTATCTTCTTCCATTACAGCATCACTTTCATTTGAAACTATTTTGGTGGCAACTGCAGGAACTGCATGTGTTGTTTTAACTTCCAAATGTTCTTCAACAATTCTTGTTTCCTGCATTGCACTTATGTGTTTATTGTTCGGCTGTATCAAACACTCACCAGCTTTTTCCATAGGACACACATCAATCTTATCAAGAGGCACCGTCAGTGGCGTTTTAAAATCCATGTCCTTGTCTGTTATCTTTCTTTATATTAATATTATAATAGTTCTTAGAAGCTACAGTGTGCATTCATGGTCTGAAAAACATAAATGCATGATAAAACAGTATAATTTAATTTAATTTTTCTTTCTTAAAAGGTATACAGTATGCGTCTGCAATATTCTATAAAACACCTCATATAAAAGTACTAAGTTGATAGCATTAAATTAGAAATGGGATAAATAATCAAATTCAAGTGTAGATCGAGACAGGTTGTTCAACAATTCAAACAAATAGGAGAAAATTGCTTCCTCCCACACCAGACCCCCAGAGGAAATAAATTGTGTGGTTGTCACTTGTGTGTGTGTGTGTGTGTGTGTGTGTGTGTGTGTGTGTGTGTGTGTGTGTGTGTGTGTGTGTGTGTGTGTGTGTGTGTGGTGTGTGTGTGTGTGTGTGTTGGGGGGGGGGGTAAATCTGGCATAGTCTACTTCTTACCTAAGGGACACTTTCTTTATTTTAAAATCACAATAATGTGCCTTTAAGGGTTGACTGACATAAAATGATGATTATTTTATGCTAATATTCATTAATATTAACAGTAACATTTGGAGTTACTATAAGGAGTATCATTCATAAAACCTTACACAATGCACGATTGAAACCCATACAAAAAATACATAATCAAAAGAATTAAAAGGCCAGAAGTGTAAGCATCTTGAAGATTAGAGATCGACTTAAGAGAAGTATGTTCCATCAACTTCAAGATGACAAAACTTATGGCAATTTAAAAACAAATCAGATCCTCAGATACGAAAAAAAAATTCTCAAACAACTTGCATGAAAAGTAAAATAATTATTAGAACGTTAAAACACAATTTCTCACCTTAGTTACTTTAAGCTTTCCGTAACATTTTTCAGGACTATTAAAACACATGGTCCATGCTTGAAAGTCTCGCTCTCGAATTAGGTCATTTAAGACAAACCAAAATGCATGCCGAAAACATATTATATAACATTAAGTAATACAAAATAAGCTGTTTTTGAAAATAAAACTTAATATTCAAAATATTAATTAGAAATTTATGAGTTAGCACTCCTTTCATCGGAAATTTTAAGATAATGCATAGATAATATAAAACCGGCAACTTTGGACCATCTTGTCAAGGTCACCAAGAGCGTCCGCGCATGCGTGTAAGGTGCGGTAGTAACCTCGTTGGTACATGCGGTGACATCCGACGACAATATTTCCATTTTCTTAAGTGATATTTCTAACACAGAGAGGGAAAAATGATGACAGATGATCGGAGAGGGGGTCAGTTGTTTGGCGGAGGTCTTTTCGCGCCAAATGTACCCTCCAGTCCAGGTAAGACACAAGTGAAGTGTATTGCGTAAGTTGTCACGTTTTCCACGACGTTGGCTTTTCCCTGACGGTGCACCGATTTGCAGAAATCGCGGTTTCAGTTTCATCATATCTTAATTTACTATAAAAGTAGAGTGTTTGAACATAAACATAAACTTCTTTTTTAGTTTCAAGAGAATGGTAGTAGTTATAACATTCGGAACTTTGACGGTCTTTTAAAACGTTTTTGCCACAGCACAGATTTGTAGCATGACATTCATCAGGGCGTTAGCTTCAAAAATAAGCCACAGTCAAGAACATTAAATCTTCATACGGTAGTCACACAAATAGATAAGAACCACAGTTACATAAGTAATTACATAAATATGTAAGCAAAGGCATGTTAGATTTGATCTACACTCTGCCACTCCTCTCTCTTCTAAAAAGAATAAAGATATAGAGAGGGAATATTGATAAATAAATAAAAATTGAGTGTTTCCGGGTTTAGCACAAAACTCGAGGGCTAGCACTACTGATGACAGTTTGATATGTAGTACAGTACATGTCAGTGTATGAAAGTGATGATTTTGGTATCTTCACTGTGTGAGAACCATTTAAGCAGCAACATATGTCAAGTTTCACATTACTTGATTTCCTTAATTTATCGTTTCTAACCTTGAATAAATTTCCTATTTTTTTATGATTATTATTTTATAATTTTCAGTATGAGTATTGAATTGAGTTATTATCGGTATTATCTAGAAACAATCTTTTGCAACTTTTCAATCGCAAAGTAAACTGAACACATCCAAAGGTCTTCCATATATGAGAAAAATATACTAGAAACTATTGACTTGTCACCAGTGCTACAGGTTTTGAATAGCATATTCTGTTTTGGGTCAAGTTTTGCAGTGTCCTATCACCAGTAAGAGACAGTCCCATATTATATATGCATCTGACAAATCCAATCTATTTCTTTTTCTTTGCTTTTAGGAGGTCCTAGTTATCCACAGTATTTTAATCTAGATCCTTCATATATGACACCGGTAGGTATTGCATCCTAAAGCTAACACCCCTAATTACTACTCAGTCTATTTGATGACTCCATGCACTCAGTATTCACTAAACCAAGTGTTTAATAGATGTTCTAACCACTGATACAGATATCATAGCCCTACATTATATTTTAAGACTGATGTAGATTCACAGTGTACACATACAAGCACATTTTTCAGTAGCATTGTCATCTTGTTTATTATTTTTTTATTAATAATTTCTTTTACAGGGTAGTGAATTTATTGTACCAGAAGGAGCACAACAAACTAGAGGTCGCTTTGAACTTGCATTTTTACAAATTGGATCATCTGTTATGGCAGGTAGGCATCCTGTGAAGTCAAACAGTGTATTAAGAAAGTAATAATATGCTTGATAAAGATTTATCAAGTATTTTGTATATTTTATGCAGGATGTTTTTTATCTCCATTTCCAGCCAATGCAGATAATGTGAATTTTTTTCTCTCTGGATCAGTTTACTCTGTAGATCTTTTAAATTACAGTCATTTATCAAACTTACTTTCTTCTTATTTTTTCCAGGTTGTGTACTGGGCAGTATTGGAGGTGTAGTAAGCAATAGAGAAATTTTGAGATCTGGAGAGAAACATTTAAAAACCACGTAAGTAGGCAAGGATTGGAACATAATTGTACAGAAACACCATTATTGATAGAGCAACTGAGAATTTGTTTTCATATCTTACAAATTTTCATTGTTATAAAGTTCACTTTTTCATTTTTGTAAAGATAAACATATAGTCAACTATCCAGTCAACTCAGACATTCCCCTGAAGGCTTGACAGTATTCATATGCATTCAGTACATAGAATATTTGAATTTCAGGTTTTCAAATATAGTATTTAACAATGGAGGAAAGTGGGGAAAGAAATGTGGTGTTGTAGGTAGGTCCTGTTTTTTTTTTTTTTTTCAACAGACGTGTCTGATATAAGAATCAATAAACTGATTAAATACAATCTTAGCTGCACTAGTTTTGTCCACTAGCTTTGTCCAGACATAATTGGATTTATACAACAGTTGGGTACTTGCCTTCGTATTATATTTATGGATTCCTTAAATAAAACTTAAGATTCATGTAATGAAACATTGAGGGTTAATTTTAAAAGTTGATTTTTTTACCTGGGTTTTCCCAAAACTGAGTCTGAAATTGCCGTGCATCACATGTGACATGCTCATTTCAGGTTCAAACCAGACTAAAATTGCGGTTAAAGACAATCTTAAATGGTCCTTTTTTCTAGAAATGCTTTAGCTTGTGTCATTCTGTATTTCAGCATTTTTATACAGTGGAGTAGGGACTTTATTTGGTCTTGCAAGGCAGCATTTGTTGTCTCAGGATGATGATGGAATTAACACAATGACAGCAGCAACCACCACAGGGGTGCTGTATTCATTGCCACGTAAGGACTTTTTTAACCTTCGTGATAAGAAGTAAAAAAAAACATCAGAAATTGTCCATTTCATTTAAGTTATGTATAATTGGAAGTTTAAGCTGATGAATTCATTACGTTTTGATGTTCAGGATTTGTATTTTTCAGTATGAAGCTTTTGTTTTTTCATGCTGAATGACCAGTTGGTTGTAGCACTTGAAAGTTACTTTAAATTTATTCATAAAGCTTTCTGAAACTTGGTGAAAAGATAATATTTTAAAGTATGCATGTTTGAATTTTTCAGAGGCTTTAAAGCACAGTGGTCTCAAACCTGTTGCAAAACATTTATGCAGGGGTGGACTTGTAGGGGCTGTTGCTGGTGTCGTCATCTTGGGAAGTGAATATTTTATTGGATTTAATACAAAAGGAAGGAGGGCATGGTATTATTAAGAGAGACCAAGATGATAGACAATATTTTCTGTTGGCTGTTTGAAGGAAAATGGAGAAAAATCTTCACACAGCGACGAAAGCTATGGAAATCCTGCCAAGTGCTTGTAATTTTCGATTCCTTGTAAAGTAAATAAACCAGAATTTACTTTTTAACAAGGTTGACAAAACTGAACAAATCACCAGAGCAAAGGATTCTTTTCCCTGACCAGCTCAGAACATGCAGCAGAAACACGGAGCAGGAGCATTTGTAGGAAAAAATATGCACCAGCACACCATGGCACTTACTACAAATTTGAAAATAGTAGCAACAGCAGTGATAGTTTCATTTTTGTAACATTTCATGCAAATGCAGTGTGTTACAGGTTGACTTTTTTGGATGATAAACATGACTTAATAGATGAGAAGCATTCTGCGCTTTGTGCTGTTTCAGAAAGTGAATATTTATGTTGTTGAGTTTTGGGCACCATTTGTTGATTTGTTCAGTTTCTTGCCAATGAAGTGTTTTGTAAATAGAATTAAAGATATATACACGTATCTATATATGAAAAACTTTTTTATCGACTTGCTTGTGTTTGTTATGATATCTTACATGACTGCCATCTTTATAAACAACCTGATCAACGTCAGATATTACTCTGAGCTACTAACAAATGTGCACCTAAAGGTGAAAAATACATCAATGTTTTTCTGTAGGAAAAATTATAACTAACGAAAGACAACATCGACACATTTATTTACGTTGGCTAAAAAAAAAATGCAAAGTGAGATGGTACCTCAGGCAATTTCAGCCAGCAATTTCAAAAGGGGGGTTCTTATTTCTGAAAAAGTGGACCTTTTACCATGTAATCCCCATGTATCTAGGTCAAATTTTACCTTTTTCCAACAAAAAGGGGTGTTCTTTCGACCCCCCCTGGCTACGGGCCTGTACCTGTTTGAGCCGTGAACAAATATGAAGGTTTACATTTTGCGGTGGAATATTTGACAGGATTTGGAAGAAATGACTGACATAACTAGTAACGAGTCATTGAATTGTGCTCAGTGTAATGATAAATACATGTTACATAGTTCGCCGTGAATAGAGCCCAACACGATGTGATGTTGTACATAGCGTTATCGATGAGGGGAAAACACAATATGCATTTCCAGTTCGTATGTATAATTATTTACATATGTGCAGAAGATTACGACAAATACCGGTACAAGTCCGCTTCAAAATAGGCCAGTTGTCAAGCGTGTTTGCCCACTGAGGTTGGAAATTATTGGTGGCAAAGGTTTCTCAAGTGCCACCGGTGTAATGTGACAGTGTCCCCCATGATATAGAGTCCACTTCCCATTCGTTTGTACAAGTTTTGACCCACTTAGGTAAGGCTAACCCTAACCATTATAACTAAATGGAGGGCGGGTTTTTTGTTACCCTTAATTGCGTTACTCCGGTCCGTTGAAAGCTCGTTGAGAGCCCAAATAATGTACTCCATAAAGAGCAAGCCCATCCAAACTAACACAATCGCTGCTCGCAAATGCAGGTATCGTTGACTGTGGCGGTGATCAAACTAGTAGCAGTGTGCTTGTACAGGTGTCTGTTTCTCAGAGCTATAGCCATCACTGTGACATCTTCACGAGTATGTGGACTGGACCTGATTGACTTCTGGAATATCAATAAATTGATTTAGATTAATTAATTAGAGGATGAGAATCCTTCTGCTAAAAAAGGAGGAAAATCAACTGTAGTATTTAACTGAAAGTTAAAATATCGCATGAAATATTATTTCTATTTGTTGGTTTAACAAAGATAACAAACACTCTGAGGCTTCCTTAGTTGACTATCAAATAAACATAAAATTGTGTTCTGATGGATCTCTCTATTCGACCCAACATATGTTTATAGAAAAATTCTATAAAAAACGCAGAACACGTGCACTGCGACTTAAAAAAGGTCGATAAACGCAAACCTTCTTGAACAAAAATTACGTCTTTTTGTTTTTGGTCACCTCGCATGACGCTGATGACGGAGTTGTTCTTTTCTTGGATCCGGAGGTTTTAGACATTGTGTCACCTAAGGGGAATGGTGAAGACGGCCTGGGGATTATTGGCACTTGGGTCATGACCACTGATTCCTCGTCATCTCCATGCAGCCAAGCACCAGTCTGAGAAAGTGTGGGCCTGGCATTGACAACAGGAGGGGTGGACATCACTGAACGACGCCAGATGTGCACGTCACCCATGAACATAGATGCTGGAAATGTAAAATGTTGCCGCATGAACCAAAAACGCCACAATACCATGAACAGTATGAGTTCTTTTCACGGTGCCATGCTTCAAAACAGTGCACGGAACACGTGTTGAACAGTCACGTAACATGCTTTCCCATTTTATTTTATTTCTTATTTTTATTTTTTATTTTTTTATTCCCACCTCAGGGGCGAAATTTATAAACGAATACATACATAAAATCGCACACAAAATACCCTTGGTAAAATCACACAATAAAATCTTTCTAATATACTGTATGTTCACTAGATAAAGCGCTTTTTTTTTCACTGGAATTGACTATTCAAACTTAGAAAGGATGCAGAAGCATATACTAGGACCGAACGTAACATGTTGAGTTGGGTCCCAGGTAGTCCCCGCATTGGACTAAAATGTATAAACTTACCGTACAGTTGCGAATTATCTTGGTTGTCATTGTGCAGTGACAGGTGGATATTTCTGGGAATACTGAAGTCCAAGTGAGCCATCACTGATGTCTGCTGCTGCGATTGAGGTTGTTTATTCTTGGAAGATGTAAAGATTTCTACCCCTCCCAGTTAGAAGCAGAATTTTAAACTAGAAAACGTTCCCACGCGACCTTGCCAGCAATCAGCTAATCATATTTCAGTGACAATAATTATCTACTGGTACGATGAATTAACCAATTCACTGTCAGCAAATGTGAGTAGGTTAAAAGAAAATCATATAAAAGTAAAGATTCACTGAATGGCCATTAGAAAATTAACACGTGAGCGGTAACTTGATAAGCTGTACCCGTAATTAGCACACTGGTCGTAATCAATGAAGTCGATTGAACCGGCTTAAGCTGATTAATACATAACTGATAACATCAATAACTGGGGTGTCACTGAGCTAGACTATTCAGGGTACTCACTTTTAGCTTACCTGCAGCTGTTAATCATTGTAATGTGCGTGTGTCAAAGCTTGGCACGTGCCCGTAGCATGACCATGACAGGACATTATGGAAGATTTGGATCAAAGTTTAATGTCTTTTTTCACTCTGGATTTCAAACAAGCTGTCTTATCTAAATGTTTGTTTCCTATATACATTTCAAGCAAATAGGAAAACACAAAGTAGAAGAAAGTGTTCCTTTAAATAGATGAAATGAAATTTTAGATCACCAAGGTTTCTTTATTACCAGCAAACAAATTTTACCATTAAATTATTTAAGGGCTCAACAGTGCGAATTAAAAGATTTGTTTAGAGAACGCTTAACATATTTCTCTTGCTTGTTAGATCTATAAATCACGATAAAACACACACGATGATATTGTGGAATTGAGCGTGCCACTTACATATAGAGAAATTACATTAACGGTATTATCACTGAAGAATAGGTAGAGGAATTCCTGGTGATTGTTTAAAAGTATGTCACATTCAGTTATGGAAGCGTATACCCTGTCCAAGTGACCTTGACAACAAATATCTTATATCTTGTAATGTTTACTGCAACTCGACAGTTATACCTTTTGTTGTTTATGCGAAAAGAATATGATATTGATGTCTTAAAAGCTTAGGTGAAAAATCACGCAAATGTTTATTTTTTATTTAAAAATAGCACTTGGTTATTTGCACGTGCAGCGAGGCATGCTATGATACGTGTAATGTGAATAGAAAAGATATCAATCTTTTTTTTTTTCACAAAAATTTGCAATGAAAAGAAGTTTCAATTTTCTCTGGGGGTACCTGGGTATTTTCTTTATGTTGAATAAAAAAGCAAGCATTTGTCGTAAAGGCACAAATGTATGCATGATCATGTCAGTGCGCATAGATAACAATGAAGAATAAATTCAAAAACAGAATAAAAAAAGAGGTTAAAATAATAAAGTAAATTCTACTGCAGTCAAAGAAATTGCATTAACCATAACGACCTTTGGTACGTTGCCAACTACAAACACATAGACGAACGATTATATATATATATATATATATATATATATATATATATATATATATATATATATATATATATATATATATATATATATATATATATTATTTTATTTTATTTCATTTTTTCTCTTTTTTTGAAGGCGCCACATCTGGATGTCGGCTGCGAGCTTAATGGCTTTTACGCGTGCTTAAATTACACTACAAAAATAAATTACTAGTGATTATTGCAACAGTATAAAGGGAAGATGCTATGAAATTCTGGAAAACCGGTAGAGGGAACTTGTATACTGTCACACTGCATTCAGTAGCAATTTATTTACTATTTTAATGGCCTGTTCATTGTCCCAGAAACTTAGCATCAGGTTATCATTTTTTTGGCGCTGCCAAAATTTTGACCCACCATTTTAGACCCCAAAAGCCTGTTTAGGGCACTTATCTCGGGCTGAAGTTGGGTTAGGTCATTCAGGAAAGCAGCGAAAACGGGGGCGGGGTTTGCAGTTTTATTACTGAGTGGCTCGTGCTTCACAACTATAAGGCGTAGTATAAATTTTCCAACTGATAGTAACCAACAACTTTTGGGTCTCGTTTTACACCCCCCAAAAGATGTGCAGAAAACAGCGGCATATATGGTCATAATTGACCGTATGAAGGGGATGTTCATCCCTACTGACCATTACTGTATAAGCACGTATATGGTTAACGTAATATTTTAACAAACTGTGTTCTCTGCGCTGGAGTCGTTGACATTATTTCACAATTTGTTCTGATGTCTGAAAGGATAAAAGAAACTAGATGTATACGTGTAGGTAGGCCTAGTGCAAGCGAAGACACGAAGAGGAATGCCATTGATAGTGTGTCTAATGAAGGCAACGAAAATTGCATGCACGTGAATTAATAGCGGTGTGGGCACGGCCACGCCCCTGGCTGGTTGGTATAGTTGGGTGATTTTTATGTGGAAAAGCAAAAGAAGTGTTTCCAAGCTGAATGCAGCCATATATATGCTACTGCTTGTTGTGTCTGGCGGTGCCTTTGTGGCAATGATATCACTAGCATTGACTAAAATGAGTTAAATCGGGCAAATAAAGTGCCAAGTGATGTCAATGTTGA